ATCAATCAACAGAAGATTAATTTGAACTTTAGCCAAAGTCTTCATAAAATCTGTCAACTGTTGATCTTTAGCTTTAGGCTTCAACCTTTCGGGATAAGGCATAAGTGGCACATAAGCTTGTTATGCAGTTTCTGCAGCAATTTCTGCACTGTTTTCAGATTTGTCCAAAGGCTGTGTAGAATCTGCAGAAATTGCAAAATCTGCAAAAATATTAGATTTTGCAAAATTTCCAGAATCTGTATATGGTTATGGTACTGCCCGTGAATTTCCAGCACAATTTTCACCTCTATTGTCATAACTTTTACCAGAACCTAAGACTCTAACTACCTTACAATCGGCACCTCCCCTCGGATTCGGTTCAGTTTGGCTTGGAAATGTACCCGGTGCACTTTCTAAAACTTGCAACGTAATTTGACCAAGTTGTTTCTCCATATTTTTCATTGACGCATGCAGATTTTGGATTTCTTGACTGGTAGTATTTGCTAATTTTCTAATTGCAAGCTCCTAAGTAGCCTTAGGTGCAGTAGGTTGCTGTACCTATTGTTGAATTGTGGTTTAGCATGCTGATCTCTATCCCACTTTAAATTAGGATGATCTCTCCAACCCGGGTTGTAAAAATTTGAATACGAGTCATTTCTTGAATGTTGAAAATTATTAAATGCATTAACCTGTTCCGTTGCAAACTCCGAATAAGCATTGTTATGTGGGCAGCTCCAAAAATCATAAGTTGTCATGTTGCAAATGCTGCAGGCAGCTGGTAAGGGTTACTGTACAGCAACCTGCGAACCTGGAATTCTTTGTAATAACATGTCAAAATTTTCACTCTTTTTCTCCATTTTTTCAATTTGTGCTGACACATATGGAGAACTGTTAGTCAACTCAAAAACAAACCTAGATTGCGGCTGCTCAACTGCCCATTGTTGTGTATCTCCTACCATTTTTTCAAATAATAAACACGCCTCTTATGCATTTTTATCTTTGTATGAACCTCCGCATGAAGCATTGACAAGAGTTTTTGTAATCATATTTAACCCTTTGAAACATATATGCATTTGATTAGTACTGTCAATACCGGAATGTTTACATTTTCTAATCAACTCTTTGAACCGTTCCTACACCTCATGAAACTCTTCATTTGATTTTTGGGAAAAAGATAAAATTTGAGTTCTCATGTCAAATGTCTTTGAAGCTGGATAATACTTGCTTAAGAATTTTTCACTGAGTTGGGCCCAAGTACTAATGCTTCCAGATGGAAGTGTGAGGAGTCATCTCTTTGCTTAATCTTTCAAAGTGTAAGGAAATAAACGGAGCTTAATAGATTCGGCTGAAAATCCTCTCACCAAAATATTCTTGCATCCCTTTAAAAATTCTGCAATGTGCATGTTAGGATCGTCGATTGATAACCCATGAAATGTAGGTAGAATATTCAACATATGATGCTTTATTTCGAATGTAGACCCTTCCTCGACTTTTAAATAAGTAATGCAACTTGGTATGTTAGTGGCATAAGCTGTCAATGAATCACCCAAAGGCTCATCAGCCTTTGGAATAACAAAAGCCATTGTCTCTTTATTGTGCAGATCCCCATAAAAGTTCCCTACAGTGAAGGAACCCACTGCAAATTTTGCTCCTTGCGTCTCCTCCTTAAAGTTTTCTTAGGTTTTGGATCAAAAGGAAACAATTTATGCACTGTTGAACGGGTGCTGACCATGCACAGATTGTCTCTGTAGTTTTCACTGTACTGCTGTAATCTGTAAAAATAAAAATAAAAATAAAAATAAAATAAAATAAAAACGAAAATTAATTTTTTTATATTTTAATATATATACATCAATAACTAACTGAAAATCTGATTAGAACGAATTATTTTAAATAATCCCCGGCAATGACGCCAATTTCTTGATAGGGATTTTACTACACATGCAAAAGGGTTAAAAACTCATATAATACTTGAAAGTCTTCAACATTACTCCACAATATCCTGCATCCACCCTTAATGTCACATCCCGGCCCGGGCGGGACGACTTCCCGGGCCCGCTCCACCACCGTAGCACGATATTGACCGCTTTGGGCTTACCATTCCCTCACGGTTTTGTTTTTGGGAACTCACATGAGAACTTCCCGATGGGTCACCCATCCTGGGAGTGCTCTCGTGCGCTACTCGCTTATCTTCGGAGTTCCCATGGAACCCGAAGCCAGTGAGCTCCCAAAAGGCCTCGTGCTAGGTAGGATGGGAATATACATTTAAGGATCAGTCCCCTGGGCGATGTGGGATGTCACAATCCACCCCCCTTAGGGGCCCGACGTCTTCGTCGGCACATTTCCGGCCAGGGATAGGCTCTGATACCAAATTGTCACATCCCGGCCCGGACGGGACGACTTCCCGGGCCCGCTCCACCATCGTAGCACGATATTGTCCGATTTGGGCTTACCATTCCCTCACGCTTTTGTTTTGCGCCCCTCCAGGTTCTAGTAGCTTAACGGGTTTGGTGGTTTTCCCGGAGGACGTCCCGGCATTCTGACAGACACTCACCTACGTAGGGTCACCTTCGGGTGCACTATTGTTGTATCGTTTCTTTTGGACTGCTGTAGGCTTAAAGCTCTGAATTCAGCGTCTTACTTTTGCTAGCACATACTTTATCACATTATATTTGCTAGTTTTAAATTATTCGTACTTTTACATTACTGTTTTTAGCTTCCGCACTGTGCACATGGCTACGTCACTTCCACGTGACGGCCAACATGCCCTGATCTCGGTTGGGGTGTGTCACTTAACAAGCTTGTACAAGTAATAGTAGTCGTCGACATATGTTGACATAAAATTTAGGCATATGTTGGCAGGAACTGACAAGTGTCTATTAGGTGCTCAACGAAATGACCCAATAAAGATTTTTGGTTGATATTATGACCCCATTGTTTGAAAATCCTGGCTACGCCACTGCTATTAGCAATCCAAATTCCAAGTGAGAGATAATTAGGTAATTCGGATTGAGTTTGTGCTAATTGGTGGTTAGTCCTGATGGTAAGAGCTTTTATCTTCACTTGACTGCATTCTCGGATTTATTTAAATCTTCCCTCTAATTAGAGTAGTACTATCGATTGTATTCAAATTGAGTTTGCAATGAAAGTTACAACTAAGCTGGATATTAAGGTAATTAGATGTATGAAAAGATTGAGTCCGGTTCTAGCCCACAAGAGAGATCCTACTCGCAATGACTAGGTAGCAAACAAACATTTGGTGCTGACTCACCGAGTTTGCAATGAAAGTGATTTTGACATATTTGGAGCGTATGACGTACCTATTAATTTTTTAGGAATGATAAACACACATCTTTTTTGGAAAAAAAAAAAAAAAAAAAAAAAAAACACACACACACACACATCTTTTTTACTCTCTCACATATTCATATCTAATTCTGATCATTATTTATGTTTAATTTATTTAATTGAATGGCCCAAAATAAAGAAAGATGTATCATAAGCTAAAAAAGATTTGTGAAGTCATTTCCCTAATGTTTATATATATTTTTTAATACATTCGATATTATCAATACGAAGAGGTAGGAGAGTGGACTAAACCTCACAATAATGTAGTCATAATAATTTGGTTCAATTTCGCCTTTGACAGCAATCAAATCTAATGTCTTTCACTTACCAATGAAAAGGAATACCATTAGACCGTAGTACTAACTGGCAAGACACTCGTTTGTTTGTAATTTGTCTTGTTTTGCCCCATGATAGTTTTTTCAAGCATCGTGTCTTTTTAAAAGACGCAACTTTTATTCTTGATTGTCACATTTTGGGTTTTGGATATGGAAAAGGATCCTCTGATCGTGGCCGTTCATCGTACATCGTAAAGTAAAAAATCATTTGAAATTTAAAATTTAAAATTAAATATAAATAATGCCTAACGAAAACTGACCGTACAATGTATGATGAACGGCCACGATCACAAGATCCCTAGGAAAATGATCCAGTGAGGATCCTTTTCCTTTGGATATCTTTTGTATGCTATCTTATATGTAGGTAGCTTAGTGATTGGTGATGAATTTCAGGCCTGTATTTAACATGACATATGTTGTAATTGATTCCTAGTGCTAGTGAATCACATGATGGTGGTCAGGAAAGGCTCAAAGTCTCAAATGCCTCTCTAAGTTTTTCCGAACCCCAAAAAGATGGACTGTTGTGGCGATTTCACTAATTTCTTTTTTATAATAATAAAAAAAATTAAAAAAAAACAAACAAACAAACAAACAAACAAACAAGCAAAAAGAAAAGTTGGGTGGCAAAGCGCCCAAAACAAAAGTTTCAATTCCACCCGGCCCAAAAGCCCAAACTCCAGTAACCCAAACTCTCCCATCACCCTTCTCCCACTTGTGCGTTTCTACCTCGACATTTCTCCATCATTTCTCAGCCCTTCTTCAGCATTCATGCCACTACTGCCAGGTGAAATTTGGAAAAATAACCAAATTTCGGATCACAAATAGAATTCTAACCATCATTTTAAATTTTTAATAATTATAATAAAAAAAAAAAACAAAAAAAAAAAAAAAAAAAAAAACAAAAGGCTCCCATCTCTATCCTTTCTAGATGATAATTCAAAACCACATAAACCCAACCCAAGCACAGCTAGCCATGGTGTGCATCACGATCCCTCTTCCTTCTCCTCTTCCTCTTTTATACTCTCACACACAACCTTCGTTTAGTTCTGAACCCCCAAAAAAATTTCAACCTTTTCTCCACATGAAGACGACTATCACTCTCAGTCTCAGTCAGCTTCCTCCTTTCCTCTCCAATTTATGATTTTCAACTACGATGATGTAATCCTTGAGTTCGAGTACTTGCACCACCAAGCTCACAACGAGGCCTTTGCTCACTTCAGTGTCCACTGCCCTTCCTCAACATCTCAGCCCCTCAATTGGGACCTCCACTTCTAAGATCAGCTCCAGAACCAAATCATTGGTGAAAAGCCCAAAATGCGATGGTCCCTTCTCTTTTTCTCTCATTTTCTCCAAAGGTTGAACTTTGGATTTTGTTTTCTTCTACGATTGAATCGGGGTTTTGGGTTGTTTAAGGAACTTCAAGGAGCATCGGAGGCTTTGAACTTATTCAATTCTACATCAAATCTCCTGATCTTAAATCTTGCTTTGTTTAATTTCAATGGATGACATTTTTTATTTGGTTTTTTTTGAGAAAATTTTATTTAAAGGATGTATTAGTACTTTCATATCAACTTTTTATTATAATTATCAAACATTTAAAAAGGTGGCTAGAATTCTATCTAGGGTCCAAAATTTGTTAGTTTCCAAATTTCCCATCTCTCAGCCCGTCTTCAGCGTTCACGCCACCACTGCCAGGTAACACCGCCACTCACCCTCCACTGCGATTGCAGACTTTTCAATCTCTCGGTATTTTTCCAACAGTATATTCAATTTATGTATTTTTGTTCAGTTGGTTTCAATCTTCCCGATGCGTATCTAATTCTCACAAATCAACCTTTCTTTCTGCTTTGTTATGTTAATTGCTCCTGTGCTACGATGCACTTCTCTGTTAAGCAAATAGAACCCATATAGTATAGAGCTCCAATTTTGATTTTCTTTCCAGTAATATAATTGTTTTCTTTTCAATCTGGGTATCTTGGTAGACAATTCGGTGAAGTGGGTAGTTCCTGTTCCTCTCGAATTCACTCAAAAATTGAAATTTTAGTTGTTGTTAGGATTCTGGATATGGGATTTGGTGGATTTTGATTAATTTGACATCAATTAGATGGGTTTTTGACTAATGATGGATTAAACTGGTTTTTGTGCTTAGTGTATCTTTGGAAAATCTGTGAAGTAGTTTGTTGTTAGTACCAACATAAAAATTAGTTGATATCAGGCGTAGTTTAAATAGGGTTTAGTAGACCATGGAACTTGTTTTTCGCGGAATTCTTCTTGTGCTGTAGTATTTGTAAGTCATTCAAGTTCGAAAGATGAATTCGTCTTTTGATGATTTAGTTCTGTGTTTAAATCGTTTCCTGGTCTTAATCTTCCTTTTGTTGTTCTTTGGATTACAGATTCTACTCTTTTGGTACATTTTTAAACCTCTAATTTGTTGTAATACTTGGTTGTTCTGTTGATTCCGAATTTTTTTTTTCTAGTAAATTTTTGATTTGTTATCACTAGGAACAGCACATAGTTTCCTTAGTAATGGCAAAGAGAGATTTTCATAAATTGCCTTGCATAATTTGCTAATCCTAGTAAACCTTTTGATTTATAATGTACATATTGTAGGAAAATATAAAATAGCCTGGTCGACATTAAAATTGTGTTTATCTTCTTTTCGTGGTTAGTAACAGGTAATATCAATATGGAAACACTGAAGAATCCGTAATCTTCTATAGACAACCAAACAGCGTATTGCACTGCTGAGTTCATCTACTGCTTTCTCGTTTCTAGGTAGGAAAAAAAGAAAAAGTCATTGCTTGGAGATCCCCAAGGGGAGGCAACTATGTCGTTCATGAAAGGAGATTTGCTTACGAGAACTAGAAAGCTGGTGAAGGGCCTAGCCAAGGCCGAGCCTGTTTGGCTCAAAGCCATGGAAAAGTTTGTCTCTCTCTTTCTCGCTATTCTTTTATTCTTGCAATGCCTTTTCTTTTTATTTAGTTGTTAACAACATAATGTATTGTGGTTTTTTCAGGGCACCGCCTGTAACATTTCCTCGTGCGAATGCAATTCAGAAAATCACTCTCCCAGAGGATGTTTACATAAAGAAGTTTTTCCAGAAGCATCCAGATTCCAAACATGAAGATGCCATAAAGTATGATTTATCTTTGTATTCTGTTGCAATGCCAATACTCCGTGTTCATTTACATACCATTTCATGTGCTGTTTACCATCCGGTGTGTGAGCATATGAGTTGTGGTCTCATTACAAATAACAATTGGGTCTTGTTATGAGTTATCCTTGGCTAATAGATGTGGTTAGTAATTCAGGATTGAGTGTGTTGTATGAACCCGGAAGACATATTAACTTCTTATGAGAAAACGCAAGATGCATTAACTTATCCATTTTGTTTGAACAGGATTTCTTCTTTTGATCCTCCACCAGCCCGTATATTTGGTTTGCGGGTGCTTGAGTTGAAAGAGCAAGGGGTTTCTGAGGAAGAAGCAATGGCAGTAGCCGATGTATGTATTTGGATTTCCTGTCCCCGTATGTATGTGCTTTCTAAGTTTTTTCTCACGTTTGTTTCATATTGTCTTCTAGATGGAATACCGGATGGAGAGAAAAGAGAAGAAGAAGGCATATTCCCGCTTGAAGAAAATTGCACGCCTTCAAGGGAAGAGGCCTCCTGCCAACCCATATCCCAGCGCTATCAAGGAAATACAAGCTGAGGAGAAGAAGTATGTTCACGACCGCTTTTACAATCCCAAAATTATTCAACTTGTAAGGAAATTGCAAGAGGAGAAGGTAGCTGAAGCGCAGGAGAGATTCAGAGGAGGAGGAGGTTCCTGGTAACTTAAAGTGCCATCTTTTGATAATAATTTTGGTCCGTTAGTTCGTGAGATTTCTTACTGATTGGCTTTAGCTTTTGATCAAGTATTAGACAAGTGCATTGGAAAGGATTGTTAAATAGTTTTCTTTAGCATCCATTTATTGAAGGTTGATGAAATGCTATACATTTGTGAAGATCACGTTATATGATTGTTACATTTTCCGATTTATGTATTTTTACATTTTCCGATTTGTGTGCAATTCAATTCTTATAGAGCTTCAGTTTCATTTCGTATAAATCCTTAGTTATCAATCATACCATATTTAATTTATCAGACTTGCATCCAAACTTGTTGAAGAAGGAAGAATATGTATGCTAGAAAACTTGCGTGATTGCATCCAATGGGGACGCCAAGGTGGCTGTTTACCAAACCAATCACGTGATGCGCGTTAAAGCACATGACTTTGGATGATAGGCTTGAGATAATGTCACATTGGCGTTGATGTAAGCCTCACATGGTGAATGGCTTTATATGACGGAAAGAATCCAGCTACTCTTGAATGTGTATGTAGTATGCATCCCGGGTGAAAGGCTGCTCAGCCTATCATAAAAATCTGTGTCAACATTGTTGGGCAAACTAACTAGTAACTACTGAACTTGTAGCACCTCGAGCTATCATACGATCAGTCGCCTACACGTGAATGAGCGCAAGTTCCGTTTAATCCTACACCCACTATCAGTATTTGATTCTCATTGGTCATAAAAGTTATCTCCACCGTTGATTTCGATTAAAAAGTTGTTGAGGTGTTTTAACTGTGTTTGATATTAAACGTTCTAGAAACACAATTGTTTAGTCAATGTTTAGTTCGACGCGGTCACCTTCTACCTCAATCAACTCCCACCAAAGCATAGCAGCTAATAAATTACACATTTAATAACAATCAACTTCTATCAACAATTCTAACATTTTTCATTATTTGACAAAAGAATATTTTTTTTTCTAGAAAAAGGGAGTAAAAAGGAAAATATTCCTGGTGAGAGTGATAAACAATATACTCAAACAAAAAGACAGAAGAGAATAACGACTCGTTTGAGATTGCTTTTGTATGAAGTACTTATACTTGTAAGCACTTTATTTAACAGTTTTAAAGATAGTCCCAAAGATGCCCTTAAAAACAATAAAGAAACTTTTTCTTTTTGTATGCCCATAGGGCCATAAGAAAATAAATGACCAGAAACAGATTGTAAATCAAAAGAGCTTATCATTTCCCTTCATATAGCTGAAAATATCATGTATTGGCAATCACTATTAACCTAAGGATTTCGATCGTTAATTTTATTCAGTCAAGCTACGTCATTCTTAAATATAGAATACGAAGATATGTTAATCACCACATGGGAATATGCAAGTATTATCCTTAACCTAATGAGTGGTTTTCCTTATAAACAATGAATTTAACAACATTCTTACACATAATATAAGGTAGCAAAACTTTTCTAGGCAACCAAACAAGACCTAAAATTAAAACCTTGCACGAAATCATAGAAGTTGAGACAGATTGATAAGATAGATTGAACAAACACGAATGGGAAAAGCATGGCCACCAATAAAAAGCAGAGATGAAATAATCATTTAACCCCACTTCAAGACTTCACCTACTCCAACCAACACCCTTAAGATATTATTAATATTTGCTGGGACTGATCATCTAACCCCCAACGGAATTCTGTGTCCTCTATGCTTCCTGCATTTAATTTCTTGGGACACAATTTTCTTCTCCACAAAGTCAAATACATGGCAAGTCTTGATGAGCTGCAAAGGCAGTGTTTAGGTCAAATATTTTTTTTTTCCGTAAATTAGAGCAATTTATAATATCATTATACTAAAATAATAAAAAAATAGCACAAATTTTTGTTTTTCGTTGGAATGAAATAAGGCATTCATATTTTAATTATATTTACTTGGTTGACCTAATTTGTTATCGAGCAGATGTTGATTATGACAATTGGCTAGAGTAGTACGTTTTTGCTCCTTTTCACTCAAGTTTGAATCCTTATTGTTTTAGATTTAACATTATACGAGTCCTTAAACTATCCTTTACTTGAAGAGAAATATTATTGTTTATGAAGAATGAAATATCCATCGCCAAACTTGAGTCCTTAAACTATCCTTTACTTGAAGAGAAATATTATTCTTTATGAAGAATGAAATATCCGTCGCCAAACTTGCACTTCATCATAAGTTTGATTGTTATGTTGAAAAACTTTGTTGCACAACAATGTTTGCCATCAAAATGTGTCTGGTTCACTAATTTTTTTCGTTCTGTATATTGCTAAACTGCATTGCGTGACCTAGCGAAGGAACTTTTATAGCATACAAGATACAACTCTTACATACGACATCACTCTCATAAAACCGATCACATAAATAGCATGTGCGGATTTTAATTTAATTTTATAAATAATTGCATTATTTTTTTTTTTCTTGTAGAAAATGCCTACCCTAACATGCAAGCATTTTTTTTTTTTTTTAAGAAAAACTAATGAAAATGACTTGAAAACTTTGAGTTTTAAAGATAAAGACAAAATAAAAGGTAAAGTGAATAGTACCATGATTGACTTTTTAGTGTAAAAATATGATTTTTCTTTAAGATGAACAGTATCAGGAGCCTTTCGTTAAATTTTTTTTTTTTTTTAACGACATTGGCCGATGGTCCCAAATGCAGAGACATCTCTGGTCTCATAGCCATTTTGGGTGGTTTTCCTCATAAACTAAAAATTTGTGTGTAAAGTTTTAAATTGAGTTACCGAAAATGACCATTGCTTCACAGTTGTGACAAGTTCAGGAATGAAGACCAAAACTTTGATAGGACTAATATTGAGAGACTTGTACTTCATAAACCGAAACTCCAATACAACTAAAATTTAGAGACGAAGATTCCAATTATCTCTGTTTACTAATAAATTGAGCTGTTTACCTACTTGCATCTCAATTTGTTTACCTATCCATGCGTTCTTTCATTTAACCGTCATTACGCAGGTAACGCATTCGACTCTCTTCCCTGTTCATTTAATCGTCATACTATATCTGTCCATAATTAAGAAAACAGTAATTAACTTACTAACTAAGGAAACAAAATACAGCAAATAACATACATTTAACAATCGCATATATTCAACACCAAAGTATGTGAGGTTTCGGGTTTGATACTCTGAATTAGTGAGTCTATTTAGCTCTAGGTCCAGGCAAAGTAAAATTTCCATAATATCTTCGGATCTGATAAAAATACATAATTGTAACTTGTCACAAGTTATTTTTTTTTTTAAAAAAAATATTAATACCTCCGAAGTCAAAACCTAACCATATTTCCAGCCAAAATCATGAAAAATGCTTACAGCGTTAATTAATTTCAGTAGACCCACTAGGGGCACCACGGTAATTTCATTCCCACCACCCTCATTTAAAACCCCCGCTTAGTTTCTCCCTCTCACTCACGCTACTCCTCACTCCAAAAATTAGCCAAACGGAACAAACGCGTTGCTTTCTAGGAAGAGAGAGAGAGAGAGACCATGTCGTCGCAGAAGCAACGGCGGAGCTTCCCGTCGATCGCGGCCTGCAACGTGGGCGAAACGGCGTCGTACGAGTCGATCGCCGCCGACCTGGACGGGACGCTGCTCATCTCCCGGAGCTCCTTCCCTTACTTCATGCTGGTGGCTATCGAAGCCGGAAGCCTCCTCCGTGGCCTTGTCCTCCTCCTTTCCCTCCCGCTCGTCATCGTCTCCTACTTCTTCTTCTCCGAAGCTGTCGGCATCCAGATCCTCATCTTCGTCTCCTTCTCCGGCCTCAAAATCCGCGACATCGAGCTCGCCTCCCGCGCCGTCCTCCCCCGGTACAGTAAAATTATATGGATATATTAGTATATCTATCTTTCTCGTGTCGCGTAAATATTTTAATTTGAAATGTTAATTTTGAAATTATGAAACGATTGTTAGGTTTTACGCGGCGGATGTGAGGGCGGAGAGCTTCGAGGTGTTCGACAAATGCAAGAGGAAGGTGGTGGTGACGGCGAATCCGACGGTGATGGTGGAGCCGTTCGTGAAGGACTTTTTGGGCGGGGACAAGGTGCTGGGGACGGAGATCGAAGTGAATCCGAAGACGAAGAAGGCGACCGGGTTCGTGAAGAAGCCCGGGGTTTTGGTGGGAAAATTGAAGCGTTTGGCGGTTCTGAAGGAGTTCGGCGACGAAGTGCCGGATCTCGGGATCGGCGATCGGAGCTCGGATCATGACTACATGTCACTTTGCAAGGTATGGGTAATGTACTTGGCAATATAATCTAATTATTGTTAATTTTTAGTTAATTTGTTGTAGTAAAATCATGGGACCCATAGTCTTAACCATCCCCAACTACGTGCCAGCTAAAACATTGATCCCTGTGTGGTGTGGTCAAATCAAGAAATTACGGCGCGCTTGCAAAAGCTAAATAAGATAATTAAGGCAATCGTGCTTTTGGATGCAAAAATATATCGGTAGTTGTTATTGAGACTGGCGTCGATGATCATAACTTCTTATGAAAAATTGTTACTTTTCTAGTACTACACAACTATATATGTAGCGTTTTAATAAATTACGTTACATATATCTCGGTAGTTGTTATTCACTCTGTAAAAGAAAAAAAAGAGTAGTTCTATTTAGCCTTTAAACAATTATTTTTACTTTTCATATTCTTTTTAATTTTAGGTCAATGAATTAAGGTACCGTTTGGTATGTGGGATGAGACAGAATAGAGTGGGATAAGACGTTCCGTCCCACGTTTGGTGCGCCTAAAACGGGTGGAACGAGTTGTTCCGCGGGACGAGTTTTGGTTGAATTTTCGTTCCACCTCATCCCCTAGAACGACTCATTCCACATCCGTGGAACACAAAATTATAACCTCTTCGTCTCCTTCTTCTTCCTCCTTGTTTCCATTCGAGGGCATCTTTGCTCCCGCTCTATTCCGTTCTGTCCTATTCCATTCTGTTCTGTCTCATCCCGTCTGCATACCAAACGATACCTAAGTTTGGTATGCAGACGAGACGGGACGGGACGGAACGGGACAGGACGGAACGGAACGGAACGGAGCGGGAGCAAAGATGCCCTCGGATGGAAACAAGGAGGAAGAAGAAGGAAACGGAGTGATTATAATTTTGTGTTCCACGGATGTGGAACGAGTCGTTCCAGGGGGGTGAGGTGGAACAAAAATTCACCCAAAACTCGTCCCGTGGAACAGCTCGTTCCATCCGTTTTAGGCGCACCAAACGTGTGACGGAACGCCTTGTCCCACTCTGTTCCGTCCCGTTCTACGTACCAAACGGTACCTAAAGGATAGTATCAAAAAATTAACAAGGGTATGTAGGTGGTAAAAATTTAACACTCTCCTAAAAGAATAAAGTACCCATTCATGCAATGTAAGGCAGTTGCCATTGGCACTGTTAAATGACATTTTTAGTGTAAATAAGCAAAAAATTTGTGGTGTTACGGAGTATAAGATATTATAATCTTGATTTTGTTTTTACCAAAGATTTATTGGGAATCTTAATGAAACACTCTTGGTTTAACGTTAAGGATATTTTTATCTTGAAAAATCACTCATGTATCATTAAAACTAAAGTTTTTGAAAATTTTTTGTTAGTTTTTCTAAGATTTAATACTTAAAAACTCAAAATATTCTAGACTTCGAAATATCGAGTAAACCCTGTGAATAACAGGGTCTAACACATTACACATTCATGACATGAAAAAATTCATTTACTTAACGACATTGTTGATATTTCATATGCTGGATATTACGAGTATCATTGTTATTTTCTGGTGAAATACAAACTCTCGTTTACTATGGAATTATGTTTGGTACATTTTTGCTCACCATGTTTGTTCTGATCAATATTGGACAGGAGGGTTACATGGTGCCGCCCAATAAATCAGCCCGTCCAATTTCAAAGAACCGTCTCAAAAACCAAATAATTTTCCACGACGGACGACTAGTGCAGCGCCCGGACCCACTCAACGCCATCCTAACCTATCTCTGGCTGCCATTTGGCTTCATCCTATGCATTATGCGTGTGTACATCAACCTCCCTCTCCCCGAACGCATCGTCCCCTACACGTACGCAATGCTCGGGATCAAGCTCAAAATCCGCGGCAAGCGTCCCCCGCCGCCCTCCCCCGGCACCCCCGGAAACCTCTACGTCTGCAACCACCGCACGGCGCTCGACCCGATCATCATCGCCATCGCGCTCGGCCGCAAAGTCTCCTGCGTGTCGTACAGCGTGTCCCGCCTCTCCCGGTTCCTATCTCCAATCCCGACCGTCGCTTTGACTCGCGATCGCGAGGCCGACGCAGCCCGACTGTCGTCGCTCCTCCAAAAGGGGGACCTCGTGGTGTGCCCTGAGGGCACCACGTGTCGCGAGCCGTTCCTGCTGCGATTCAGTGCTTTGTTCGCAGAGATGAGCGATAGGATCGTCCCCGTGGCGGTCGACTGCAAGCAGAGCATGTTCTACGGGACCACCGTCCGTGGGGTCAAGTTCTGGGACCCGTATTTCTTTTTCATGAACCCGAGGCCGACGTACGAGGCGACGTTTCTGGACCGGTTGCCGGAGGACATGTCGTGCAAGGCCGGGAAGTCGTCGATTGAGGTGGCGAATTACGTGCAGAAGGTGTTGGGGGATGTGCTGGGGTTCGAGCGCACCGGATTGACGAGGAAGGATAAGTATTTGCTGTTGGGAGGAAATGACGGGAAGGTGGAGTCTATGTACAAGAAGTGAGCCTTATGGGTAAGGTTATTGTGGTCATTTCGGGTTGACAGATAAAGAGATATGTTCGGCTGTTTGGGTTATTTTGCTAGTCTATTCGGAAGGTGTTGAGAAGGGTATATTGGTCTAAGTGTAGAGAATTTATATGTGAATTTGGTTAATGTCATTGATTCAGCTTTTAATATAGCCGTTTCTTGTGGTTAACTATGTTGATCTATTTATAATAGGGAAATTTTGTTTAAACCCATTTAACCTCTTTTTACACTCAACTTAAATTTTAAATGTTAATTGTTATTTTATCCTATTGCATAATTACTATTAAGTACAAAATAAAATTAATAATAAAAATCAAATTTATCAGTAGACTCGCATACCATAATTAAACCCTTAGCATCACCCTTTGTTTATCATACGTTCATTCCGACTAAGACCCTAATAGCTTTGATAGAGAAAAACAAGTTTTTCTATTGATGGATGGTGATTTTGAAGTTTTTAATTCTCCAACTACGGTATGACTCGATTTATAGATATTTGTTTGTTTGCTTCTTCCTTGGATTAAATTTCATACTTTTTATATTATATTGTATTTGTTTTTCTCTACCGTATGTATGCGCCCCAAAACACTAATGCAAGGACTTTTGTTTAATACTGCAAAGACATAAAACTTGATTCTTGGTGCAAATAAATATTGCTCAACCTTAACCACAAACTAGCAGGTGCCATGTCTTGTACCTTTTTTATTCAAAATAACTCCAATTTCTTTATTTGTTTATTAACATAGCAGCAAAACACCTAGCCCTATGTCACTTCAAAGTTTTTTAAAAGTACATGAAAATGCTCGATTTAAACAAGACTGAACTAGAGCTTGCATAGCATTCTCTTGGCAAATTCAAGTCTATGGAATGATCTCTTGGATCCCAAGTCCATGGATGGGTTGTGATAGCAACAACAAAAAAAAAACCAACCATGGAAATGCTAGTCTTATACGGCAAAGGACACCTCTTTGAAAAAAAAAAAAAAAAACTGTCAATTAGAAATGTTATTTTATAAGGGGAATGAGTGTAAAGATAATTTTACATTTTAAATTGGGTTTGAGAGGGTAGTTTAGGTAATAAATTTGGGTTTAAACAGATATTAATTCTTTAATAAAAAAAAACAATATGGGTGAAGAGAGTAAATTTGGTGTAGAAAAGAAATTAGATGGGTTTAAATAAAATTTTCCTTTATAATATTGTTGATGGAAAAGTCAATCTTGGCCTCAACTTTGTGTCCCATCTATATACGTTACTACTGTTGTTGTTGGTTTTTGTTTTTTTTTTGAAGCTTAGTCTCATAATGAGTTAGCAATAATCTCTACTAATTAATAAAACACTCATTGTCAACCAAAATCCTATGAAATTACTAGTTTAACCCTCTAATTAAAACATAACATGAATAAGAAATATAGGGCATAAATATAATTTCACACAACCAAATTCTGCTGTTTTTTTCTTTTTAAAACCTCACGTACATGTAATCGTAATATATCTTTAATTAAAAAAAAAAATTCCACTCTCACATTCTCTATCACTTCATCTCTCATTCTATTTCAAAATAAAAAAAATTCTCACACTTTGTGTGTGCCCATATACTAGTGTGATTTAAACGAATATCACTAAACCGTAGTATTAAGTGGCAACATGCAAGTGATTTCTAAACCATCCGGAATCAAATAATTGTGGGACCCGCATAAAATCGGGATTTTTGAATCTTCTTACTTTTCAACCTAGAGAGAGATAGGATGTACAAAAAGAAGGTAAAAGAAAAATAGCCATTTTCCAAGTTTATTTTTCAAACCATTGGCCACTAATTTCTTTGCCCCAAAACCGTAGACGCTAGTATGCATTTCCAGCCTTTTCCAGTCGAGCTTTGTCAGTTGTCAATTGTTTTCTCTACCCAATAAGATTCTTTCTTGCCCCAATAGGATTTTTTTTGGATTCTCCACATGCTTTAAATTACATATTCACCAAGAAAAGCTTAGGCCGTCTCTAACCGATCCGGCTAGAGGGCAATAGGGCTAAAAATAGCCTGAAAAGACATGAAAGCCGTCTTCAACCGAAGCCTAGGCCAAAGGGCTCGTGGGCTTCATTGGGCCACAATTGTACAATCAGGCCAACCGGCTGGCCCGAACCAGCCAGCCAGCCAGCCCTGGGCCGGTCTAGAAATTCAAGCCCAATAGCTGACATTATGTTGATGTAGGTAGCCATTCAATTTGAATATTATTTTTTTTGACAAAATAACATTAAACAATATTAAACAACTTTAAATAACATTAAACAATATTAAACAATATTAAACAACAATAAATAACATTAAACTTAAACAACATTAAAGAACACAATATCTACCCTAGTACTAGTTGGGGAAGTTATTCAAACTTAAACAACATTAAAAAAAAAACATTTAACAACATAAAACTTAAACGCTTACTTTATGCTTATTTTGGCCCAAAGATGTTTAATTTAAGCAACCATATTAATTTAATTAAAATAATAAATTATCTTTGGTCTATGGCCCTTTGGTTGGAGATGGTTTTTTGTCACAGGGCTATGTTTGGTGACACACCCCGACCTAGGAAGGTTGAAGCATGTAGGCCATGGATGCATATTTTCATACATTTTTATCATGTACTTCCTTTGGATTTTGTATTTATGAATGGGTTAAATGCACTAATTTATATTATTTTAATTTATAGGCATTAAATACTGGAGTTATGCAAAAATAAGTGAAAAATGAGTTTTTTGGGTGTCTAGAGTAATTCCAGTGGAGCAAGAGGCTAATTAACTGCACCAAGGCATATGCGTTACAACAAGAAGATGAGACTGCAGCAGTTTTGGAAATCAAATGGACATGGGAGTGCTATTCAATGGATTTAAGAAGAGACATAATTATTTGTTTTTATTATTTCCGTTTATTTTCTTTTTATTTAATAAGAACTTAAGGTGCATTAGTTAGGATTTTAGTGGGGTTAAGTTAGTTTTTTTTTCTTGTCTTTGCCATGGGTGTTATAAGGAGATTTCTTCTCTTTGTGATGCATTACTAAAAAAAAAACATCAACAAATTTTCCCATAGGGGGTTGCTGCAAGGAAAGGCGAAGAGGAAGAGCTACATTGGAGTTTTTCTTTACTAGGGCTATGATGTGGCCTAATCATGAATACTTAATTGCCTTGTGGCATTGTTATTATCAAGTTTTTCATCTTTATTGAGTATCTTTTGCTAATCGTAATGCACTTGATTTTTATTTAGATGCTTGATCACCATCTAGGTTTACATTAGGTTGATTTGATGCAAGTTAGAGTAGATGCCATGCTTAACTTGGGTGTAGCTTCTTGCAATTGATACCATAAACGCCTATTTGTAGATGCCATGCAATTAGGGTTTGTGTGATTTTCCAACGATTTCCATAGAGCTTAATGGGTTCTTACTTGTTTAAATCCATCTAGATGCCATAGAGGGTTAACATGTAAGGATACTTTTGATATAACTTGATGCCATGGTTGTTGAATAATTTAGGGAAAATGGATCATCAATATTGGGGAACTACTTGAACATAACATATTAAGGGAATTAAGTAGGATTGGTTACGGTGAATTCGGATGCCCTAGTTCTTCTTTTCTTGTGTTTTCAATTTATAATTTACATGCATTTAATTTTTCAAGCTTTATTTTATTTAAGTTTAATTTCAAAGTTCCATTCTTTTCCATTAAAGCTTCTCCACTATGATTTGTTTCAATTTAGTAAGTAAGACTTTAGAATCAATTTGATCTCTGTGGGACGATATCCGTGCTTATATGCTATACTGTCATTTGATTTGTATACTTGCGAGCACAAAAATTCGAGACTTACTGAGCATAATTTCAGTTATTTAATTTTCGCAACAAGTTTCTGGCGCCGTTGCCGGGGATCAAATTTGATTCTATTACTTAATTGGATTGTTACATCTTTTAGTAGGTTTAGCTTTAATGTTAATTGTTAGTTTTTTTTTTTTCAATAAAAAATTATTCTCCTAAGTCTCTTGTTTAGCTTACCCATTGTTTGGTGTTTTTGTAGAAAACTAGAGCCACCTAACCATGTTGCCGGTAGGAAAATTCAAGTTTGGGGGTGGATTGCCATCTACATCTTGGTTTGCCTGTCTCCTTCAACCCGGGAAGTTTCCTTGTCTAAGAGCTTTATTTCATTTATTTTCTTTTGTTGTCTATGTTCGTTATCCTCATTTTTTTCCTTTCATTGTTTTCGTTATAGTTTTGGAAAAAAAAAAAAAACAAAAATACATACAAAAATATAAAACTTGAGAACCCAAAAATATTTTTCTTTGAGTCTTGTTTTTATTGCCTACTTCCCCATTCAGTGATGAGATACAATCTTTACGTTTTTCATAATTTTCAAAAAATTTAAGTTTGACATTAGTTCTTTACATTATCTTTGTTTAAATTATATTTTTTTTGATGATCATGACTTGGAAAAACAAATGCAAATAGCCTTGTTGGCGTGAAACTAGAGCATGATTTAAAGTTTTATATGTGAATCTAGTGAGCTAATGTAACCCTTGTGAGCTTTTGAACCTATTTTATGATTGAACCACCATGCATCAATCTCGTTTATTCTTGTACGCTTGATCTCATTTTTACATGTATCTCTAGAACTTGCTTTATACCTTTCGTTGCATTCATCAATTCACATAACAAACTTGGAAGTGATTTAGGCATTTGTTTCTTTCGTTTGAGCCAACCATTATAATTGTTTTCCCTAGTTAGCCATTTTGAGCCTTTTTGTGATTTTTTTGTTCTTAAACCTAAATTTTCCCTACCTAGCCTTGTAAAAAATTTTCTACCTGTCTAAAAAGCTTGTAGCGTAATTTTTTTTTAAGAGGAGAGAATTCCAAGTGTTGGGGCTTAAATATTATCATAGAAAGGAAAAAAATGATGAGAAGAAAGAAAAAAACTCATGAGAAAAAAAAAATGAAAAGAAAAAAATAAAAACGGTTGTCTGCTTGAAAAAAAAAAGAAAAAAAAAGAAAAAAGAGAAATGTGATGTAAAAAAAAACGTTTCAAGATTTAACCAAATGATCTATTTTGGTGCTCAAGTTCTTAAGTGCTGGTTTAAAGTTTCTCTATCTCTCAAATACAATTGTGATGCTCTACAAGTTGTTTAGATTTTGTGTTTTT